AGCGGCCTATGGGCCGAAGTGGGTAGCATGAGGCTCGGCCCGTTCTTTTAATTGGATAGGGCCTGGACTCATGATTTGAAACCCTCTACCTGCCCACAAGTCTAAGTCGACTCGTTATTTAGGCCTGCTCAGCTCGACTTGTTCTTCAATTAAGTAGGTTCTAGGCTTAGAATTTGAAACCCTTGGCCCGCCTACGATCCAACCCTTCTAAGCCCATTTAGGCTCGACATGGCCCACCTAGGCCCTATTTTTAATAGATATACACTTTCTAACTTCATTTTAGACTTAATTAAAATAATGTAATTTATAGGATGAAGTATCTAATGAGACGTCTTGCGGGTTGTGTTTAAATTTAGCGAAGCTTTCGAGCTCAAAGATTACCCAAATAAAATTTATCAACCCAAAGTCAACATGTACCTACATATTAATTAAAGCATCCATAAGGGAGCCAAGGAAATATAAAGACCACCATGAAGCTCATGATGAAGTTATGAAACCAGAGACATGCAAAGCTCATGCTACTTCACACTGCATACTGCTAGCAACATATGCATGCTATGTGTCATGAAAAACAAAATATATAGAGGCTATAAAACCATGCATATATACAGAGATTTTGTTTATTAATTGATCTCTCTATTGCCTTCTCTTTTCTCATTTCACTTCGATTGCATCTCTCTCTCTCTCTCTCTCTCTCTCTCTCTCAACGAAGAAAATGGCTGCGAAAGGGAAGGATCTTAGCCAACAGCTCGAGGAACTCATCAGCTCCTTGCAAGAACAAGTCAGTCCACCCCCATTATATTGCTTTGCTTATAAATAAATCTTGCTTTCTCTTTTAAGTTTTTGCGACATTAATATGGTATATGTTTCCTGGCAGGGCATTTTGACCGACTACTTTAATGAACTGAAAGGGTTACAAGATGAAAACAACCCTCGCTTGGTTGACGAAATTATCACCATCTTCCTTCGTGTAGCTGAGGATTACAGAGCCGAACTCACAAGAAATTTGTAATTAATTTCCTTCACTATTTCCATGAACTAATTGGAGTTTTACACACACACACACATATATATATATTAATTTTGCCGAATTCAATTTTAATTTTAATTAGGAGTGAGCCCGATGTCAACTATTCTGAGGTGCATAAACTCGCAGTCTGGTTTAAAGGCAGTACCACAAGGTAATTGTCAATTATTATCTTTTTTTTGTCATAATTGTCAATTGGATAATTTTTTAGAATATGCGTTACTTTTAGCTCAAATAATTAGATAAATAAAAAATTTGTGTTACTTTTAGCTCTTTAAACTTAAAAGGAAAAATTTATATCTCACCCGTATAAAAGTTCTTGGTTCCGCCCTTGCAAAAATAATATGTGAATGAACCATTTGAGGTCAAAATAAAAGAATAAAGGACATCATTGCTAAGAATTTCTTTTCATATCTATTGGTCTTCTCTGGATTTTTGCATTGTATATTATGAGCTCAAATGGATGCTTCCTAATTTGTTGCACATCCTGGTCTTCTTAATTTACTGCATTTTGGACTTACAGTAATGCCTGTGGCCGGGTTGCCCTTGCCTGTCAAGAGCTCGTTGATGCCAGTGAAGCACAGAACAAAGAAGGGTAAGATTTTATGTGTTCTCTCATGATCCCCAAATAATCTACTAACAAAATTTATGAATAATACATATATGTGTGGTTCTGTGCTTGTAGGTGCCTTGTGGCTCTTGACAATGTCAACCGTGAATATCTTGTCGCCAAAGAGAATTTGAATCGCATTCTTGGGGTAACAGTTATTTTGAATCTTTAATTCCTTTCTCAGTTTTAATTTGCATGTTGCATGTTCTTACATTGTATCACTTCCAAAACCTTATGAAGATGTCATATGTATTTAATTATCGTGCATTTGATTGCTGATTGCAGATTGAAAATAAATGAACACATTGATTTTATAATTAGAGACAAAAAACAATATATGAATAAAAACTTGCCTTGGTAAATTGTCCTCACACAAATGTTCTAATATTCAGAATTTTCTTTTATATAGATGGAACGTGAAATTTATAACATGAGGCTGCCGAAAGCAACATAAGTAGAGAGAGTTCTTATTATATTAGATCATCGACTTCAGAAGATCGTGATGTTTTCTTCATGTTGGCCATGTAATAAGTTTATTACTTCTATGTTATAGACTTATATATAACTCGTTTTAGGACAAGGTTTTGGTATTTGGAACTTTTGAATAAGTTCACTGTAAGGTGAACATTATGTTTCTTTGCACGACTGGCGGCATCCACCAGCAGGCTTTTATAAAATCAATGTAGATGGGGCACTCAAATCTGACGATACTAGTCGTGGGGTTGGAGTGATCGTCAGAAATGAGAGGGGTGAGTTTATGGCGGCATGTGTTCAGCGGATTCAAGCTAGCTATGGGGCTAGGCAAACGGAGCTTATGGCTGCAATTGAAGGATTGCGGTTTGCTATTGATATGGGTTTCACTGATGCTATTTTAGAGATGGACACACAGGATTGCATCAATGGGATTTTTTCAGCAGAGGAGTGCAGTGGAACAGATGGTCTCTTATATCAGGAGGTGAAATGTCTACTGAATAATTTTCGAGCAGTCTTATGCCAATGGACCCCAAGAAGCGGTAATAAAGTGGCACATTCCTTGGCTCAGTTTGCAATTAGTTGTAGTGAATTTGTTTCTTGGATTGAGGAAGCACCGATATGGTTGCTTCCTGTGCTTGAGGCAGATGTACCCTCTTTTGAACGTTGAATGAAATCTCGTTTCTATAAAAAAAATTAAAAAAAAAAAAAAAAAAGATTTACCAAAAATGTGTTTGGATGTGAAAGTACTGAGGAATTTAATGATGTAAATTAATATTCTAAAATTTGTAAAGTTTTTTGTTTGGCTAATGGATTTAACCATAGAATTCAATATTTTAGAACTCCATTTCTCTGGAATTTTAGAAATGACAATTATTTAGATAGAATTTAAAGTTGATATTTATGACCACCAAATTTCATATTTTTTCCATGTACAATTTATAAATTTCTTTGTTTTTATTTATTTATTTATTTATTTATATAAACACAAGAATTGGTGTATGTCAATTTAGAAATTCTGACTTTTATCCAAATCTCAAGTTTATTTCACTCATCCAAAAGCACCGATAGTGTCCAAAAAAGAGTTAATGTAATCATGGACCCAAATGGTTGGTTCATGCTTGGCAAGGGCAATGAGCACTAGTCCTCCAACAACTACTACGTAAGTGCCCAAGAGCATCTCCAAGGGAGATGTTAAATACAAAATGTTGAATTTGGATTTGGTGACTTATATGGCAATTTGACAATTAGTAAAAATTTAACTCCATCCGAAATGTCAAATATCATATTACCTCATTATTTTTTTTAAAAAAATAAATAGGACCTCTATGATTAATATATGCTATATAGAAAAATATTTTTTTTGTTGATTAATAGAGAGGATGTGGGAGCGATTTTCGTCCCACAGGAATATTCATCTAAGATTCCATCTTTTCCTTCGTTGTCTCTTTCTCCTCGCAAAATAAATCGGAATAAGAGGACCATACTCGAGTGGGTATTGGCCAAAGGCCCTCCGATGTCTAAGTTAGTTCAAGTGTTTGTAGGAAAACAATAGCTAACGGAAATGATATAGAGTTGTATGTATGGTGTGAACCGGGTGGCCGGAGCCGTATGTGGTAGCCGGAGCCTTGTGTGAGAGAGAGAAAGAGTATGACAGCTAGGGTTTGTGAAAGATAATTTCTACAGAGTTTTAGAGAGGAATTTAGATGTAGGTTTAGAATTACCTCAAGCTTTGGTGTAACCATGTATTTATAGGAGCCTCAGAGGCTAGGGTTTCGGAAGAATAATTCCACATATGAAAAGGAATTATTCTTCCCCAATTTGGAGAGATTGACGTAATTAGGGTAAGAATCAAATAATTGCCAATTGAATCAAATAACTCCCAATTAGGCCCAATAATCTCCAAATGGAAGGAAATATTTGACCTAAGATTTAGCTAAAATTCGGTTCCCACAGAGGACATGCTACCAAAATGGGGGATAAAAAAAAGAGGTTTTGGACTTTCAAACAACTTTTGAAATTGGAAAATTTTATTCTTGTAATTGTACGACAGGAAGAACATATTGGTTATTTCTAGACTTAAGGTGTATAGGTAAATGTTTTTTAACCACTTGAGTTACGAGCCTTTTTTATTCTTCTTACTTCTTGGGAAATGCTATAATATGTTTATTTATTTTCCCTTTATTTTCCTAATAAATACTTATGGAACATATTATATACAGTGTATATATAGAACACGCAAGTAATGTCATTGAGCCCAGAAGGGATCGTCAGTAGAGAGCTAGTTGTGGTTCGGTAATTTAGCTAATTTTCCTGAGAAGATCATATGTTTTCATTATAGAGAACAAACCCTTTCTTCCAACTAAACTGAGAAACTCACAAAGTTGTTTCAAAATTCCACTCTTGTTCATTCTACTATATTGTATAGTGTGTTTGATTTTAATTCATATGATCAAATTTTGCAATTTTTTTGTTGTTTGTTTGTTAAAAAGATCAAATTTATCAGAAAATAAAATTAACACGAAGAAAAATTAATAAAAATTAATTTGAGGTTAAAACAATTGTTATAATGAATAAAATCGGGTTGTAAATTTTTTTATTTTTTTTATTTATAAAAAAGAGTTTAGGGAGAAATTTGCTACCTTCATCACCAGCGCTAGAGCATACCCACAACTTTGAGCCGGGAGGAAAAAACTTGAGTGTCGTTAAATAGTTGTATTTGAGAGTACAAAATTTGGATTTTGGAGCTTTTGGGTGGGAGAGCCCTAAATGGTACACTGGGCAAAAAGAGGGAAAAGTCGGCCCAATTTTACACCTTTAAACCCAAACCGGTTGTGGGCTAGGTTCATATAAACCGAAACAATAAAATATAAATTAATATAAATTAAAAAAATCGATGTACAGGTTTTAACCTAATCTCGCGTGTTCTTATTTCCCCTCAAACTCTGTTTCGGCCGCCACTCTCTTGTTTCCGTCTCACGCTCAGTCGTCATTGCTCTCATCTGCCATTGAGGCTTTGCTGCAGAAGCTCTCTTTATTCAGTCTTGGACGGTAACTTCTCTTCAAACTCTCTCTCTCTCTCTCTCTCTCTCTCTCTCTCTCTCTCTATATTCATATGGGTATGCTTCAATTTCTTCTCAATTTCAGCCAATCATATAGTTGATTGAATGTGGATGTTTTTAGTGCATATCTTTGAATTGTGCTATCAGTTCTTGTAAATTGAGACAAGTTTTATGGACCTTGGTTATGAATTTTATGTCTTACAGATAAATCCTATCTTCCTTGTTTAGTTCAATTTTTTCTTCTGTTTATTTGTAGCTGGTTAAGTGTGATATATTTTGTTTGGACAGAGATGAAGGTGGTCGCTGCATATTTGCTCGCTGTTTTGGGAGGGAAGACCAGCCCCTCAGCTGCTGATTTGAAGGACATTCTCGGATCAGGTGACTTTTATTTTGAAAACCTTTTTTTCTTTTCATGTATGACTCAAAGTTGCATTATTACTGATTTCGTTCAATAGTTTTTGTTGAATTTGGATTGCCATTTGTGGGTTTGGTTTGCTTTTGATATTTTAAATGGCTTTGTGATGCGTTTGTAATTATTTTAATCGCGTCTGATGATATTAGTCTATGGAGTCTTTTATATATGGATTAACTGCTGAA